TTTTTAAAATTTCCCCTAAGTGAGAGCCCATTTCGCCTGGGAAACTAGAAAACACAACTCTGCTTTGTGTAAAACAGCAGCTACCTGAACCAATTTGCTTCAGTTTTCTCTGCTGCAGGGGAGCCCTCTGGTCCTCCCACACTCCCACTGGGCCACGCCTTGACAGATGGTACTAAAATTTATTATGATATGTAATTAATTTGGCTATAATTCAAAAATTAAAGTTTCCTATGTCTAAACTAAAGTTTTCTTAAAATATTAAAACGCTCTTAGTTAAACTTACAAAACCTGGATTAAAAAATAAAAGTTTTGGGCCAGGGATTTAGCTCAGTGGTTCCACTGCCTTCCTCGCAAGCACAAGGTCCCGAGTTCGAGCCCCAGTACCAAAAAAAAAGTTTTGAGTTTTATTAAAACAATGTCTTATGTTTTACATTGCTAGGTTTTGTCTTAAGAAAACAAGTTTTAAGAGTTAAAAATTATTAAAATGTTGCCTTATTAGAAAATTTTTTCAATAGTCAGTTTATAACTGTTAAATGAGCAGTTATCTTAGATTAAAAGACCCTACACATTGGGCCGGGGATTTAGCTCAGTGGCTTCGCCGCCTGCTGTGCAAGCGCAAGGACCTGAGTTTGATCCCCGGTACCAAAAAAAAAAAAAAAAAGACCCTATACATATGTACCTCAGTTCACTAACACTTTTGTGTTTGGCAAAATGTTGTTTTTGTTTGCAAACTCTGCATTAGGTGGCAAACATAACTATGGGCATCTTTCCCACATAAACACAAACATAGCCAACTTTTCCAAAATTGTAAAACAAATTAAGTTCATAGACCAAGACAGATAGATATAGATATAGATCAGGTATGGATCTTGGTCCATGAACTTAATTATATATATAATAATTATATATATGACGAGAGATGTATATATCTGAAGAAAAATTATGGGCTGGGGATTTAGCTCAGTGGTTCCAGAGCCTGCCTCACAAGCATAAGGTCCCAAGTTCGATCCCCAGTACTAAAAAAAAAGAAAAAGAAAAAAGAAAAATTATGCTCTAAGTCTAAGCTTTAATGTTAAAAGATTACAGAGTTAAGACTATATAAGTTTAATGCATACAAAATGACCAATAGGAGTTCTCTTTGATACAATATAGACCATATATAGATCTTAAACATAGAAAATGATCAAAATTTTTAACATTTCCTAAAACCTGGTACTGCCATTCAAAATGCGATCTTCATTTACAGGATTTGACTAAAGACGCATTCAGCTATTGAATAAATGAGATACATACTAGGCTTGGTGGCACACACCTATAATCCCAGTACTCAGAGGGCTGAGGCATGAGAATCGCTGAGAGTTCGAGGCAAGCCTGGGCTACATAGTGAGTTCAAGTCCATTCTAAACTACAAATCAAAATTCAGTCTCAAAAAAGCCAAAATAAATAAGCAAACATAAATAAATAAATGACACACACATGTGCATTGGGAAATAAGTCTATTTGTGATCAGCAACACTGTTCCCTAAGATCTAGAAACCCTAAAGGTGCTCTTTGACTCATGTCAGTGCAGTTATACTATGTAAGTCTGTTAAAGGAATCTAAATTTTGCCTAAGAGTATAAGCTAAGTGAATATATGCAATAGATTTTTAAATAGCGTTGATGCTAATTATTACTAGCCTCTCAGAATATTAAATGCATTTATGTTCCTCAAGTCCTCTAAAACACAAAATTTAGTAGAACACCTTATCACACTAGTGTTCTCAATAGTTACATGTCCCTAAGTACTAAACATTACAGACAGCAACATGCTAATATTTAAAAATTAGGCCTTAGTCACCTACGACATACTTCTTGGGGGGGGGCGCGGTTTACTGGAAATTGAACTCAGGACCTTCCACTTGCCACACAAACAGGGTGCTGCTGAGCTACATCCCTGGCCTCTATGACATATTTCTCTAAACAAGTACATTCTACTTTAAAAGACACTTTATTTTTAAAAAGTAACTAATTTAGATGAGACTGTATATCACTTAAAATTTTGTAACTGGATAAATGTAACCCATTGGTAAATTTCTGTAGACTAAAATGGAAAATCAAATTATTCTTTTAGAGAAAATAACAAGAATCTAATAGTTCTAGTATAATAAAGTCATCATAAGTATTATGCTAAAATGCTGTGTTATGTTTGCTCTTGATTTTAAATTTTCCTTGCAAAACTTTCTAACTGGTAATATTCTATCGGAATATAACTTCTACAAGACAACCTAAACAGTATGTTTAGATAGTAGGCCATCACCTTCAGTTCAGATAGAACATGATGCAGACTCCTAATGCTAATGCTGACTCTGATTCACAGAAGAAGTAGCTGTTATCTGGTCATTTTTCATATTTCAAAGTGCCCCAATTCAGATATGATTATAATACTTAAAACCTACTGTTCCCTCATCACCTTCACTGCTGCTGTAACTGATCTTTTGGGTGTTCAAAAACAGGCTTGGAGAACAAAGATAAGACAGATTACTGAGCTAAAAGGACAGCCAATATTGTGGCCTTTGCCCTCCGAGATCAGCCAGGACCCAGGGCATGATGGGATTCCTATGAAAGGAGCCGAGAACTCTGGTGAATCACCAAACTTCCTGAGCAGGGAGATTGTTGGACCCCAGAGGACAAAAGTCAACCAGAGCACAATGTGTAAAATAGAGGCTACAAAAGAGAGAAATGTTCCCCATGCTGCTAAGGGAAGCTGTGTGGTCAGGCAAGTCTGTGACCCATTTTGACAGATGACACCAATGGTAGAAGCCAAAGCTGGATGAGCTAAGAGGCTCCTCACATCACTCCAAAAGCAACCTCTCAGGAGCCTGATTTGAACTTGACAAACACATAGAGAGATTTTTATTAACACAGGTCTTATTTTGACTTAGTCTTAAATACTCAGCAGGAAAATATGAGAGAGAGAGAGAGAGAATAAAAAGCTGAGCTGTATATAAAAATGGGCTCCAAACACTACACCAACTTCTACACTTACAATTTAACGCAATGAGAAATTTTGATTCCCAGGCCCACTAGCTCAGAGGTGGCGAACCTCTGGAACACATTATTTGTTTTCTTTTAAGGAAAAAAAATATGTTAACGTATGAGTTATTTTTTTCTAAACTAAAACTTCAGTATTCAGGTTTAATTGCAGTGTTGGCACTTTGCAGAAATAAGTGGGGTTTGGGTTGCAGTTTGGGCTCTCTTCTCTAAAATGTTCACCACCACTGCACTAGCTATTCCAAGAATGTGTTCTTTAGCCTCTCTTATTATATTCCCATTGTTTTATCTTAATGTAATTTCAAGTACCTCTTCAAGGCAAAGATTTAACTTCTAATATAGCTGTGCCTATAGAATAAAAATGGCGATGTATTCTAGTTACTACAATTTGTTAACTTTGTGCTATAAACTAAATTTCTGTTATCTACTTCAGACTTTCTGTTTATATTATCTAGAGCCAATCTTTACAAAACACCTTCAGGTCTACGAAAGAGAGGCTAGATACAGATTCTAACACCTATGATTAAAAAAATTAATGACTCAATTGTAACAATAACAGAGATATCTGTTTAATATATTTCTTCATCATTGTTATAATGAAAAAATTTTAATTGATGGTTTTAACAAACAGGAAGAGTGCCCATGGTCTTAAACTCCACCTGTTTTATTAGGGTAAACACCTCAAAATAAATAAAGGTTAATATTAAAGATAAAAGGTTTCTGCCAAATTCTACTGAACTCTACCATTTTTAGAGCCACTATTTTTCAATATTCTACCTTTTATTTCTGGCCCAGGATTGCTTAGCAATGTTATAAAATTAAGCATAAATATCAATTACTTGCCAATGTCTCTGTCTTCTTTTCCAAACTATCAAAAGATGACAGTTTCATCAAACAACAAAACCTGTCATCCTTTGTCTCCTTTTGATCAGTTATGGTGAGACTTTGGGTCCCTGGCTGGGCAAGATCAATGCTCCTCTTCAGACTGAGGTAATTATAAGAAAATGGACCCTTGGCCCTTCCGCACCCTTCATAATGAAGGATAAAAGTCTGAGGGGCAGAAAACATTGTAGAATATAAGAAATAACATATATAAAAAGGAGACAAGGAGAATCATAACTAAAAATTGTACTTTGAGGAACACTACACCTTCCACTACAGAGTGGTAGTTACCCAAGGTGATCCATACCGGCATTCCTTTCAGGCTCCTTTTCTTCCAGTGCCATCACACCCCAAATTCCTCAGCAATACTCTATGTCCATAAACCGGCTTAAGAAAATAAAGAACAGGAATCTGATCCTCAGTTAAAGGAACAGGTTGAAAGAATGGAAGGAATGTTTAAATTAACTGTCTTTAAAACCCATGGACTCATACCTGTAAATAGGCTGGTACTCATCTGGAGGATGGACCAAATTTCCTGGTATTTCCAACCCCCAAGAGCAGCATAAATATTCTCACCTCTTGAAAATGATGCACCTCTCTCTCTTGAGGGCCTGCACCATATTTCTTTGAGCATGTACATTTGAAGTTCTACCTAATAAAAGGCTGCCTGTGTCTCTTACTGACTATTCCTGGAAATTCCTTTTTGAGGATGGGAGGTTGTGAACCTGCAAATATTTTCTAAAAATAGGTGAGTTACATTCCTTATCTCAGCTTTGAGAACCTCCACAAACACTGTCAGGGGATAGTGGAATAATCTGCTGCCTGGATTTAAGCCCCAGCTCCAAATCCAGCTCCAGCTCCTCCTGAAGGGTGAGCTGGGACAGTAACTGAGTTTAATCCAAACCCTTCTGCTCACCCATGTGGTGGGATCCAAGGTCTCCCATCACAAGGTGCTGTGGAGGAGAGCAGAGTGGGTGGAATGTGACAGCAGGGAGCTGCCCAGAGCAGAGCAGCTCAGGGTCACCATCCCCTCAGGCTCGCTGCCATCCTCCCTGGTTGCAGAGGGACAGGGCTGGGGAGGACTCACCTGGGGAAACTTGTAGAGCCCCAGCAGCCTGGCCATGGCCACAGACAGAGCCGAGCGTGTGTCCCCCACCAAGGCAACCCGGGGTGGACCAAACTGGCACACATAGTTGGGGACAGGATCCTCCTGGCCAGTGAGGAAGGACAGGGTCTCATGCAGGGCCCTGTGAACAGAGTCCCCGGAGTTGCGGATGGAGAAGCCCAGAGTCAGGTTGGGCAGCAGGCAGGTGCTCCTGTTGATCTCCTCGACAGCAAAGACGAAGCTCTGGGCCACCCGGTAGCCCCAGCTGGACACACTGAGGAGAGAAGCGCAATGTCACAGTGGGCAGAGGGCAGCTGGGGCAGGTGGGCACAATCAGTGATGTCTGTGCGCATGCCACACACAGGACAGGTGACGACATGCATCCCCACAGAACCTGTACACAGATGTGTTTGGCAGCTTCATTCAGAAGAGACACAGAGGTTGGGGACATGATTGATGGTACCAGAAACAGGGATATAGTGTCAGTGGGGCAGGAGAGATAAGTGTCAGTCCAGCGTACAGCATGGGTGATTGTACTGCGTGAGAATTGATGCATATTTCAAATGGTGCATGTGTGTAATACCAGCACTCCATGTGGCTGAGGTAAGAGGGTTTCAGGTTCCAGCCCATGGTGGACAACTTAATGGCTTAGAGACAACCTGTGCCAGAATTTAGAGATGGAAGGAGATTTTTGTGATTGTAGCACAGAGCAAATCCCTGGATTCAGTCTCTGGGGAGGAAGGTATGTTACAATACCAGTGATGGTCACAGTGGAACAATGCAAATCTCATTGGTTTTAGGTGGGAATGCTGGGGTGATTTTTGGCAACATTTTAGCAGAGTTAAACACACACACACACACACACACACACACACATTGTTCACAAAAGAACAGTCATTTGGACCCACAGGACAGAAATGGACAAAGGGAAAACAGGCCAAGAGGCGCCCCGGCCACAGTTCAGAAAGAGGTGCATGAACCCACATTTACTCAGTAAGTGAAATACCTACCTCTCACCTGGCACTGTTCTCAGCACCAGAGGTGTAAAGAGACAAGAATCAGTGCCCAAGCCTGGACCAAAAAGCTCACACAGATACCAGGACCAGGCCAGTGAACAATGCAGCACCAGAGGTGATGGGAGGACCAGGCAGAGCCCCGGTTCTGGGATCAGCCCCATCACTGCATTGCGCATCCAGGGCCCACTCACCGTGAGGATGGCAGCCCTGCTGGCAGGGACCTGAAATCCAGCTGGACAACATTGTAGAACTGCAGGATGGAGAAGCTGCCGCCCAGCACCACATCCCCAGGGCGCTCAAGTCTGGGGCTGCTGCCTGGCAGGAGCATGGGCACAGGAGCCACCACAAGAGCACATGCCAGCATGGCCAGCAGCGCACACGGCCTCATGTCTCCACCAGCTGGATGCAGAGCAATCTCCCACCTGCACTGCTGTGACCAGGCAATCTCAGGTGTGCGGGAAGGGGGATGGGCTCTTATAGAGACACCTCTCACCTGGTCACTAAGCCCCAGGGCCATTAGAAGTCCCCTTCCTTTCCTGGCCCCTCACCCTCTGAAAGCCCAAAGCTCTGGGTGCCTCCTGCAGACCTCAGGGAGTGAGGTGGTCCAGCTGCATGGAAGACCTGCAGGCCTGCAGCTATGCTGGCTCCCAAGGGTGGCAGTGCAGTGAGTCTGGAGACGCACTGTCCCCAGAGCTGCAGGTGGCCGGGGGCCCCATGAGGGTCCCAAAACCAACAGAGTGGGGATGCAGGGCTGTGGGTCAGTGACGCCTGGTCCCATGAGAGGCTGGGCTGGGAGGACCCAGGACACAGCTGGGTCAGGCTCCCAGCCCAGGAGGTACAGGAATGGCTCTGAGCAGGCAGGAAGTTATTCAGTGTCATTGCACTGGAGGTGGGAGTGGGCACACGGTCCTGCCCAGGTGACACCATGACGCGCAAGGTCAACTGTGCAGCAAAGCACTGAACTGGAACATCAAGCATCTTGAGAATTTAGCAGGATCTCGGCCTCCACCAGTGCGGATGCAAACACCATCCCTAGTCTCAGAACAAACACCTTCAGACATCACCCAGCAGTGGGCAAGGGGGAGAACTGGGCCCAGGTGAGTCCAGTGCCCCAGGAAACCCAGACTCCTGCCCTGTGCCGAGTCAGAAGCCCCAGCTTTTGGGCTGGGCCCACGCAGAGGTGTGCAGCTCTCGAGACCAGGCTTGCACGACCCCCAGGACCTCACCCCAGACACTCTCATTGGCCCACAAAGGAACCCCATTTCCTGCCCTCTGGCCCTGACCACCACAGCAATTGTGTCTTGACCTTATTTATTTTGGAACCTGGGTTTTCAGTTAGATTTCATTGGGAACAAGGGTGCTGCTACTTACAAAATGTTTGGAAACCACTGCCTGTCTCCAGGCTGCTCCCATGTGGCTCCAGGGGCCGGATGTCCTGAGAGGTCAGTGCTGTCTCTCCTCATTCCAGCACAGACTAAGTCAGGTGGTCTTCATGGCCACTTCCCAAGGGGTCAGAGGGTTATAAATGCACAATCAGCCACCACTGCCCTGAGGGCCAGGCCAATTCCAACTCCTGAGAACAGGACTCAGGGGACCGTCCACAGCAGGACCTGCCTTACAAGGAGAATAATAGCCCTGGGCACACACAGCCCTCCTGGGCCAGCAGCCCGAAGTTGACAGAGGCACAGCCAGGCCCCAGCACAGGTGGCCTCCTCTCCTCCTGGGACTCTATTTCCAGACTGTGTTGGTTTCTTCCAGCACATGTGCTGCTGCTCACGGTGGCTCCTCAGGGCCTTGACTGCTGACCAGCTTTGCCTCTCAGGATGCTGGGACAGACATATGGCTGCTCAGCACACAGCTGCCCAGGGAGTGCGGGGCTCTGCAACCTTAGGCCCGGCCTCTGCTGCTTCTTAGTGCTCAGCTCCAGCTTCCTCCTGCCCCACAGGAGCCCATCCTGCTCTGTCCTGGGCTGTGCTGTCTCCCTGAATCCTTTTCTCACACCAGCTCTGAAGTCAAGTTTTTAAAATAAACATTTACAATACATATCCCATGTATACTTTTACAATACACTAAAACTATGATAAAATATTAGCCATTTAAAAAAGTTTTGGTGCTAGAATTAAGTATAACTATGGTACAAATATATCTTGAGATATAATTAAAATAAGATGTACTATTAGCACTTAATATGGTACTTAGTATAAGAGTACCTCAGATATACTATTGTGACATATTTACACCAAAAGAATCCATTACTGCTCTGAAATTCATATTTAACTAAGAATTCTCCCGTATTTTAATTTGCTAACTGTGGCAACTCAATTCTCTGCGTATATATATTACACACACTTACATTAAACATTACATATTAAAAATTATTTAGGGCCTGAGATTTAGCTCAGTGGCTCCGCCGCCCGCCTCGCAAGCATAAGGTCCCGAGTTCGATCCCCGGTACCAAAAACAAAAAACAAAAAACAACCCAACCAAACAAAATTATTTATATGAACTGGTCACGCAGGCACCCCCTCCTGAATGCCTGGGTGTTTAGTCTACGTTTTAGTCCACAAGTCTTGGCGGCCCTCCGCGCCACCGTAGCTTTCAGAATGCCCGCTCCGGAGCTCAACTACCAACACCGGGGCTGGGAGACCACAACTCCCAGCACCCCGCAGAGCGAACGGAGGCCACAACTCCCAGCCACGGGCTAAAGACTACGGGCTGCAACTTCCGGTCCTCCGCGGGCCCCATCGACCTCACTCCTAGAGTGCAAGGGATCGGCGCGGGCCTTATCTCCCAACAGCCCGAGCTCGGGCCACTGTACGCCATAGTCCCAGAGCGCTGCGCGAGTGGCCGGCTGTGGCGGCTCGGGGTGCGCCCCTGCTGACAGCGTCTTTCAGCGGGAACGCCCTGGAGAGGACGAGTGGTGACCGAACAGCTACTACGGTGGGACCAATCCGATGTCGCCTTGGTTCCCACGCTGTCTTCCTGGGGAGCGTTAGGTCGCCCTGGCAGCGTGTGGCTCCGCGTCTGGGGCTGAGCTGAGTGCGGTTACCCAAGGCCAGGTCCTGGTTTCCGGGAGCCACTCATTAGAAGCCTATCCCACCTCTGCCTGTTGACAATATAAATGTAAGTATGTCTAGGAAAAGCGTGTCTCACCATAGACTTCCCACATTTAGCACTTCCAGATGCAAGACCTGTGCTGTGCAGGTACCGACTCCCGGGATGAGTGCAATCGTGCTCTGCAGACGCGGACTAAAAACCCAGACTTTAGCATCACGGCTACAGAGGGAGTGTCAGGCGCCGCGTGGGGTTTGTCACCGCAATCCCCTCCTAACACCCCCACTGCCTTTCTGTAGAGTATCCCTTGGACTTTGTAAGACTGGTTTCTCTGCCTCCAAGTAGCAAGCTTTGGTTTGCACGTTCCCCATGTGCTTTTCTCAGTGGCATTCCTCTTGTCCTATTAGCTTCTGCCTAAAAGCCTAACTTAACAGTCAAATGTAGTCAACACATTAAATTTTAACTTAATTTAAAATTTACAGCTCAAGCACTGTAAAGAAGGAATGGAACCTATGATGCACTCCGTGTTACTGTTAAACTCCTTCTGAATTCAGTTAGCTTAAAAATATATACATGACCAGCCAGGCATGGTGGCCCACACTTGTGATCCGAGTCTGAGACTGGAGGAGGCAAGGAAGTCACAAGTTCCAGCCCAGCCTGGGATGCACAGCAAGACCCTGTTGCAAACAACAACAAACAAAACAAAACCCATGGGTCCCAGTGAACGTGAATCTCAGATAACAGTGCATTTAATTTTAGTGTTAACTGTTTCAGATTTAATATAGTAAAAACTTATTAATATATTAGTTAAGTAATTTTTTTTTTGTACCAAGGATCGAACTCAGGTCCTTGTGCTTGCAAGGCAGGCAGCAGAACCACTGAGCTAAACCCCTGGCCCTTAGTTAAGTAATTTTTAATATAACTGTACCCCAGAGTAGTACTGCCAGGCTTAGTAAGTAAAAAAGGCAGAGGGCCCGATTAAATTAAACTTCCAGATAAACAACAAATGTTACTATCAGTGTGTGCCATATTTACTTTATTTGAATATTTTAAATATATTTCACATACATAATATTTTTTAATTTTTAAACTTTGTTTTTGTTCTTTTGAAACAGGGCTTTGCTGTGTTGTTCAGGGGTCCTTGAATTCACCAAGTCGCACAGGCTGCACCTGATCTGACCCCCTTGCCTCAGCCTCCAGCTGGGATTAAGTGTGGCTCTGCCTGTTTATCCCTTAGTCCTGTAGCCCCCATGTGGTGCCCCAAGCTGCCTGGCCCCTGCAATACCCCCCCCGCCCCCGCAAAGCTCCTTTCCCTGTCCCAGCACTTCAGATAAATTCCTGCAGTTAAGGAGCTGGTTCCAGCTGTGAAGCCCTTCTGCCCTCCCCCTAGCAGAGGCCAGGTTGGCTGCCGGCCCCTCCATGGACCAGTGACTCCCAGACACCCCTACACCTTCCAAGACCCCCACATAGCCTGAGACACACTACCCCCACAAAGACATCATTCCTCCGTGGACCTCAGACACGCACAGATCTCTGCACCCCCCAGCTTCTCAACCCCCTCTGACATGTGCTCTGTATCAGAAGCATCCACCCCAGGGTCCACATGGGTTCTGCTTCTGTGCATGGAGAGAAGATACTGTCTGAGGCCTTCAAAGAGGCAACCCCTTGGACCTCTGATGCACAGCTATCAGTCCATTTGCAAAAACACAGGGAGAGCTGGGTTTGGCAGAGTACAACTGTAATCCCAACACTCTGGGGGCCTGAGGAAGGAGGATGGCAGTTTGAACCCAGCCTGGGCCACTTAGTGACTTACCAAGCCCTTGTCCCAAAATTTTAAAAGAGGGGTTGGGGGGGGAGTTGGAGGAGGGGGAGGAGGAGGAAAAGAGAAGAGGAAGAGGAAGAAGGAAAAGAAGAAGAGGAAGAGGGAGAAGAGGAAGAGGAGGAGGAGGAAGAGGAAGAAGAAGAGGAAGAGGAAGAAGAAAAAGAAGAAGAGGAAGTGGAGGAAGAGGAAAAGAAGAGGAAGAGGAGGAAGAGGAAGAAGAAAAAGAAGAAGAGGAAGAGGAAAAGGAGGAAGAGGAAGAAGAAAGAAGAGGAGGAGGAAGAGGAAGAAGAAAAAGAAGAGGAAGAGGAAGAAGAAGAAGAAAGAAGAAGAAAAGAAAGATGCAGTAGGATGCTCTTGCACTTGCCATATCATGGCTTTCTCCCATGAAAATCCTCCTAAAGCTTTGAGGTGGGGTGGTGCCCCATGCAAATGAAGGACATCATTTGGAGAATCACAGAAGGGTTGAGGGTATAAACCCTGTGGCTTGCCACTAGGGGTCTCTGTCCAGACAC